ACTGGGATTACAGGGCGTGCACCACCATAGCCAGCTAACTTTGTGTTTTTAGTCGAGGACAGTTTCACCATGTTGGTCAGGCTGGTCTTGACCCTAATCCGACCTCAGATGATCTGCCCCCTCCTCGGCCTCCCAAAGTGCTGGGATTGACAGGTGAGCCCCACTGCACGCGGCGCTGCATACTGTTTTTTTTTGAGACAATGTCTTGCTCTGTTGGCCCCAGGCTGATGTGTAGCGGTACAATCTTCGGCTTACCACAAGCCTTGAACTCCCTGAGCGAGGCAATCCTCCCACCTCAGCCTCCGAGTAGTCTGGGACTACAGGCACGTTCCACCACATCTGGCTAAGTTTTGTTTGTTTTAATTTTTTGTAGAGACAGGGTCCAACCCCCCACTATGTTGACAGGATTTGGGTCGTTAAACTCTTGGGCTCAAGTGATGCCTCTGCTTGGCCTCCAAAAAGTGCTGAGATTACAGGTTGAGCCACCTCCCCACCCTAGAAATTGCAGCTTTTAAGTTCATTCTTTGTGATGCACAATTGGTAGAGTCGTATCCACCAACCCAGTTACCCTCCCAGAGACAACCCCCAGCCCCCCAAGAGGGCCCCTGTGTCCTCTTTCCAAAACAGCTTGCTCCCTCCTTCCCCCAGCCTCCTGGTCAAACCACGGTCTGTATCCCAGGCGGCGGATCCTCGGAAGCAGGCCTCGGAGGAGGGAGTGGGAATTTGGGGACACGAAGAGACCGAGAAATGGAGACAGAGACAGTGCTCCTGATTCAAGTCTACGTTTAATGCGGCGGTAATGCAATGCCTTATATAGCACTTCGAGGGGAAGGGGTTGCGCCAGAAGGCGGAGATGTGATCTCATCCGCGGAGGAGCGTGGCCAGGTAAGGTATTGGTTTCCTCTCGTCGGAAACGTCATGTGCGCCTGCGCTACAAATAACCGATTTTCGGGGCCGCGCGGAAAATGGGTGAAGAAGCCAGCAGAAGAGCGCCATCTTTTATGAGGTATTTAAATA